GGCTGGCTGGGATGCGAGTCTGACAGCCAGGCCTGCCCAGCGCAGTGCCTCTCAGCGGAGGGGAGAGGCCGGGCTCTCCAGCCCCTGCCCTGCGGCCCCGCCCTGGGCTCGGCCTCCACGTGCCCAGCTCCCCTCTCTGGCCTCCTCCTCTTTCCACTCTCCCACCTCACCAGCCTCCCCCTTCCTCTCTACTGCCCCCTATCTCAGTCCCCCCAGTTCCCTGCGGACCCCCAGCCTCTCACCATCTGGGCCAGGTGGGCATAGGAGGCCCGTGGGGCAAGCCTCCCCCACTGCCAGATGCCCACAGAGCCCTGTGTCTGGCAGGGTGAGCTCTGCCCAGGTGGGCACCTCTGCCCAGGCAGCCCGGCAAAGGCAGCAAAAGCTGGCAGGAGACCCAGCCCTCCTTAGGAAGACCTGTCAAGTACAATTAGCATTATCTGTCCAAATATGTCCTGGGAAAGAAAGGGAGGGCTGCAGGACTGGGTGGCATTCCGGGAGCCCTGTGCAAGGTCACCTCACCTCTTGCAATCCCCCCAATCTGATTTGGGGATTACACAGCCTAAGGAAATTGGTGTTATTCCTCTTGCATCATTGATAAGCCACAAACGAGGGAGTGGGGAGGAATAAACATAATAAACAGGAAACTCTTCCCAAGTATGGGTAGGGTTGTGAGGCCCCAGGGCTGGGGGGAAAGGGTGAGGGGGGAGAGAGGGGAGGGGGGGGAGGGGACAGAGGGCTCCTTGGGTTTTCTATCCACATCAGGAGTTCGTCTCATTGGAACCTGGCTCCCCAAACTCCAGTACCAGGCAGGAGAGTCTGAGCCTGGCAAGCTGGGCTGAGTTATATGTTGGCTAAAGACCCTCTACGTTGTTGGACCGTGTCCCTTGCCCTGCGTGGGCCCCCAGCGTGGGTTGTTGCGTCTCATCGGTAGGACCTCAGGCTAGAAGGTGCTACCGTAGCACCCTCCTGGGTGGTGACACCTGTTGGTGCCATGGCCCCTGGTCCACCTCTCTGTCACCCACTTGCTGTAGCAAACAGCTTGGCATATAGCATTTGTCTTTTCAGGGGCTGGGGAGGAGAGTGAAGGAACGGGTGCTGCTGTATTCTGTGGTCCCCAGGCCCCTAGGCTTAGCCACTGCATCCCCCACCCACAGACTCCTATCTCTGCCTCCACAAGAGATGCGTGCAGTACGTTCTGACTGTTCCCTCTTTGGTTAAGGGTGTCCCGAGGACTGCATTTCTGCTCTCAGCTCTTACTGCTTTCTGAACTTTTTCAAATTTTGGTTGGCATATACTTGAATGAGCACAAATCCGTTTTTAACCCCCTTCGCTGGTCCTGGAGCATCAGCCCCTTGGCGCATAGGTGGCAAGGACCCCTTGGGCACACAGCAGGTTGGAGGGCGAACACTGGGGAGATGTGGGCATCCCGCCTTGAAAGGCTAACGGGCCTCTTCTCTCTCCCTCCCCAGGATGAAGTGACGCCCCTACTTTGAGAGAGGAGCCTCTAGGACCCACTGCGAGGTAAGGCCTGAACCCCTTCCCTGATCCTTGTGTCCTCTCCCCTACCGGTGACCACTTACCTAGTACTGGCATCCCTCCGGGGTTAGGAGGATTGGGAAGTTGGAGACAGGGAATTGGAGCCACGCTGCCCACTTGAACCTGACAAGAAAAGATGGCCCCGGTAGGAAAATCTCCGATTGGCTCTTGGGCCGGAAATGGGCAGGGGACATGTGGATTGCAGACTTTGGGCATGGAATGCGTTCGAGGTGGTGTGGGGCAAGGAGGCATTTCTGGAGCCAGGGTCTGGCCGCCCTTCGGTACCATCCCCAGGTCTCCGCTGTGGCAGCCGCTGCTGGCTGTCCCCAGAAGCTCTGCTTGTAGCTCTTGGGGAGCCCTGCGGACTTGAAAGCCTCGGAACTCCAGCCCTGCCTCTCTCTTTGGAGCTGCCGGTCCCTGGTGGCCTCCTCCTCCCTCCACGAGAGGCTGGCAGGGAGGAGGCCTCAGGCCCTGAGCCCAGATCAGGCTGCTGACCCGCCCTTCCCAGGCCCAGGGCTTCCCGGGTCTGGCCGGGCCTTCACAGCCTGTCTCAGTCCCCGGGTGTCTACAGGAACCTCGGGGGCCACCGGGCCTCGGCCCCAGGCAGCGCGGTGTCAGAGGTGACCGGTGGAACGCCAGTGTTATGTAAATAGCGGGACCTGCCCGGCGGGCGAGCTGGCTGGCTGCAGCCATCCATCATCCCCCGCTCGGCGGGGCGGGGGGACAGACACGGCACCGTGCGCCTGGCTCCAAACCTGTTTGTTTTCCCTTTGTCTCGCGCGTTTCGGGCCTGGCTGTGACCGGCTCGGGGTTTTGTCCCGCTGGCCCCCTCCCCCGGGAGGACGGGGGGGGGGGGGGGGGGGGAAGGGAGGAGATTCGTGCTGCTCCCACCGCGGCATCCCTTTCGGACTTCAAAGGCTCCCCCAGCATTGTCTGTGCCTGCGGGCAGTGGCCCTGAAAACGTGATCAGAGGCGGCCGGTGTAGGGCAGGCCCGGCCCGCGCCCTGCGCTCTCACTGGGGCCCTCAGATTCCTCCCTTTGCAGCCAGCTCCACCCTGGTTACAGCCCTCCCCGGGCCTCTCTCCTCGCCTTCCTCTCCCCTGGCGTCCCTTCTGGCCAGCCCGGCCCACTGCTGCCCACTCCCGTCCCCTCTTGGCCGCAGGGTAACACCTCTCTTGGGGCATCGAGACTCCTAGAATGTCGAGAACTCCCAAGTCACTCCCTGCCCCTTCATATCATCCACGAGGATCTGAAGCAAAGTGAAGGGCCTCTTGGCATGCTGGGCGCTGGAGCCAGTTCCTGGACATCTGTTTCCCAGACCAGCGCTTGTTCCTTCCCCTGCTTTTTATCTACCCTCTGCTGGTAATGAGGGCCTGACGTCCACCTGAGGCCTCTGCCCAGCCCTTCCCTTCACTTCTTGGCACGGTCCAGATTGGATACTTCTGTCCCCAGGTGGTGGGACCCCATCTTGGGTCTTGAAAGTCCAGCCCTAGGTGCTTTCCATTCTCTGGAGCAAGGCGTGGCCCACGGCCCTTTTTTGTAAATAAAGTTTTATTGGAACACAGCCACACCCGTTCATTTGCATATTGGTTCTGGCTGCTTTGACTCCAGCTGCAACAGAGAATGTTTGGCGCAACAAGCCGAACGTATTTACTCTCTAACCCTTTACAGGACAAGTTTGCTGTCTCCTGACCTCTGCTCTTTTCTTTAAGTGGCAAAATACACATAACATGAAAATTACCGTTGTAACCATTTTTAAGTGTATAATTTCCTGGTGTTCAGTATGTCCACCGTGTTGACTCTCATGCTGCCCTGTGCCCTTGTCTTCCATGGGGTTGCCCTGAGGGCCGCGGGCAGTTGTCCGGGAGCCTGTCCCAGGGCTGTGGGCTGCCTGCGGGCCTAGTCTGTTTGGGGCCACCCCCTCTCTGGCTCTCTGTCCTCCTCAGGGCCTCATTCTCTGCTCAGTCCCACCCATCTAGAAGTCCTGGCTTGTCTTCCCTCTGACAGCCACCGTTTCCTCAGAGCCCGGCATCCCTTCCCATGAGCCCTGCGTAGCCTTTAACCTTCACCGAGCTCTCAGATCAGTTCCCTCTTCCGTAAGGTGAGCAGAATAGCTACTTTGCAGACAAAGTTATTGGGACAAATGAGTTAATGTGGTCAAAGGTGTCTGGCCTGGGGCCTGACAGGTAGGAAGAACTCACATTCCCTCCTCCCCTCCTACCTTTTCACCTCCCAGAGCACCAACCGTCCCTGGGCAGGTTCCAAGGGGTTCCCCACCCCTGCCCAGGGACTTCTGAGTCTGACTTCTTGGGGGACGTGAGTCTCCTCACTCCAGTGGGCACAACGGGAGGAAACGTCCCCCACCCCGGGTCGTGGGCTGAGGGGGGTTGGGGTTCTCGTGTCTGTGCCCTGTCCTCCCCATCTGCTGCAGGGCCCTGGGAAATCGCATACCTTCTCTGGGCCCCAGTCTCTCTGTCTGTAAAAGGGCGTCCTGACCACCCTGCTCTCTGCTTCAAGAGGCTGTTGCAAGTAGGAGCCAGGTGCTTGGGGGAGAGCTGGGAAGGCTGTGTTCGTGGGTGCTGCTGGGGGCGAAGGAGGACAAAGGTAGAGTCTGGGTTTGAACCTGGGCCCGTTCTGGGGGAGGTGGGAACTAGGCCATAGTTCCTACTGAGAAGTCCCGGAGGTTACATGGTGGGCACTTGCTCTGTACGGGCACAGGGACCAAGCTGCCGTGACACGTTGCCGGTGCCGTGAGCTAACTGGCGGGGAGGGAGGCCAGGGGAAGGGGAGGGAAGGTGGAGCTGGGCAGCAGTCGGAGGTCTGAGGCCAGAGCCGTGTCCACTGGCCGCCCACTCCTGCTGCTGCTGCTGCCGGCTCTCTTACTGCGTCTTTTCACGGGCTCCTGGCCTTGCGCGTGTGTGTTTTCCCTCCCCGCATCCCACCGGTCTCTCTTCCTGCTTGCCTTCCCGCCACCCATACTGCCACCCCCAGCTCCACGGCTCGCTCTCTCTCTCCCTCTCTCCCTCTCTCTCCTTTTCATCTACTCCGAAGGCTTTACTTTACTTCCTTGTCACCCTAATTGATTGCATTAACCTTTCAGCGTATTGGATTTCCTCGGCATCGTGCAGAGAGCCCTGCGCAATATGCTTATAATCTGAGCCATAATGGACAGTTTGCAGTCAACAAGCCCCTTCTCTCTTCTCTGCCATCGGCCCCGTGACATCTCTCTTGCCCAGGCCACCATGGCCATTTCCACCCCCCCTCCGCCGGCAGGGGTGGGGCAGTGGGTGAGGCTGGGTGGAAGCAGACACAGCTTGGACCCTCTGATGGATATCCCTGCATCTCCCCTCCTCCCGGCTCTGCCCCCCCCACCCCCCCGCCCCCGCTCTGCCTCTGCTTCTCCAGGCCTCCCGGCCCAGGTCCTTTGCCAGGCCTCTGGTCTTCGAGAATCCTCTCGGCTCCGCTGTCTGCTTCTGGGACTCTGACTAATGAAGGGCTCATGGGGCCAGCTTGGATTTGGGGAATAAGACAGTCCCCTGGTTCCACCGGATGGTTCTCAGAGCAAACCATCACTCCTTTGCTTGCCTAGGAGGCTTTGGGGAAAGATGATGGTGAGCACTTCAGGAGATGGAGAGACGTGATACAGGCCGCGGGGCAGTAAGCCGGAGAGAAGCCTCCGTGAGGCAAGATGGCTTAGCCTCACAGGAGACTCGCATGGGGGAGGCAGGAGAAAATGCGAGCTGGCTGCTCAGGTTAGTAGGAAAGGGCTCCCTCGGGTGCGTTCCAGATGGGCACCTCCTCATCCAGCATCAGGCAAAGGAGCCAGTCCGTGCCAGCTGCCCCGTCCCGGGCGCTCAGTGAGTCCCGGCCCCGTAGGTCCTGGCTGGGGCTGCCAGCCTGCAGACCCAAAGCCCGGTCAGCTGAATCTTTATTCACAACAGGATGGATGTCGGGTTGAATACATTAGTGTCAGGCCGGAGGAGCGGGACGGAAGCTCCCCTTAGCGCTGGTGGTACTTCCTCTCTCCCGCACTGTTCCCCCCTCCCCGCCCCCACTCTCTGTCCATCATCTTCTCCTCCTGAGCATCCCCTCCTGCCATCCCTCCATCACTCCGAAGGGCAGGCTTTGGCAACAGGGGGGCCGGACTAGGTCCTTCCCACCCTCTCCCAGGGATTTTGGGGGTGGGCAGAGGGCACAGCAGGGAGAAGCCACGCAGCGAATTAAAGTTTGGTGATTGTCAGTGTCAGGAGAAGCTAAATAACCCTGTAACTAGTATGAAGGTGAAGTCACGGCCTGCTGCACATGGAAAATATGAGTGCTCTGGGAGACAGGGAGAGTGAGCGGCAGAGTCTGCCCGCCGTGGTGGGCAGCCTCCTCTCCAGGGACCCAGCCAGAGAGGCAGGAGGAGGGCCATGCCCTCTCCCATCGCTACCAGGGAACAGCCGCCCAGGACCCCCTCCACATATGAGGGGCAGCTCAGCTGCTTAACAACCTGCTGGCCCAGCACTGGGGACCCGGGCAGATTTCCGTAGGCACCCAGCAATATACACTCGTGGATGCCAACCCATCCGCCTGGGGCCATGTCAGTCCTTCCTCGCTCGTCCCTACTAGTGCTTACTCTGTGCCAGGCTGTGTGCTTTGCCCTGTAGGACAACTCTGTGCAGTAAGTGCTATTGTTCTTCGCCCCCCCTTTTGTCCCCACTTTTTTATAACCCACTTTACTGAGCTATAGTTTACACGCAGTGTACAATTCATTGGCTTTTTAGTATATTCCCAACATCGTATGGTCGTCACCACTATCTAATTTTAGAATGTTTTCATCACCCCAGAAAGAAACCCCGTACTCATTAGCAGTCACTCCACCTTCCATCCCCAGCCCTGGGCAATCACAAATTATTCTCTTTGATGCTGAGAAAATGGAGGCTCAGAGAGGGTCAACAACCTGATCAAGGCGGCACAGCCAGTGAGTGATAGAGCCGGGGTTCAAACCCAGGTAGCGGGACTCCAGAGTCACTGCTCCTCGAAGGACCGCCCGATGTCTTGGCTGCGCCCCCCTCCCCCCAACATGCCCTGCTACACGTTGCTAACAGCCCGGGCTCAGGCGTGTGTGAGCACCATCCAGACACGTAGGCCCGGGCGGCAACACGCATCTCTCTCCCGAGGTAGACTTGCGAGTCCATACAGAAAAATCTCACACCCCTCGGAAGGACAGCCAACGTCCCCTCCTCTTGAACCTTCTCTTCCAAGCCCAGCTCCTGGAAGGGAGGGTTGGCTGGCACAGGAACCAGCAGCAACAGGGGAGCTAAAGTGGCCAGCGAGACCTAGGTGGTTTGAGAGTTTTAAAAGGAGAAATCCCCATATCGCCTGTAGCCGATCACTGTAACTAAAATCCAATGCCAACACAACATTCCAGAACAGGTCCCGCCCGGGTTGGGGCCACCGGCTAGGCCTTGCTGTGCCCACAGGAGGACTCAAGGAACTCAGCTCCCACATCACACTTACTCTCTTTCCTTCTGACTCTCACTCTGTCCTTTGCTTCTCCTGTCCTCCCCCCCCACCCCCCGCCGCCTCTTTCTTCCTTACACTCCTGCTTTCACTCCCCCAAACTTCAAACAAACAGACAAACGTTTGTGGCCATCCTCTTGACTCACAAAATTTGGGAATTAACGTGAAACTCTTGCTGCCTCTGATAAGGGATGAATACAGGGAGAGACAAAGGGAAAGGCAGGCCAGAGAAGGAGTCTGTTGGATTTGGTTTGGGGTTTTTTCCTCCTTCTTCTCGCTCCCTCCAAAGCGGAGGATCCGGCCGGGCCAGTTTGGATATTTATTAAGAAAAAGCCAAAGATAATTAACTTTTTTGTTTTTGTTTTGTTTGCGGGTGCCTCCCCTGCTGGCACTGCTGACTGCCTGGCAAATTAAACCTGCTCCCTGCCCCGGCGGCGGCTCTGCTGTTGGCTGTCCCGACACCGCCGGGGCCCATCAGCTGCCCACCCGGCCACCCACCTTGGGTTTCAGACCTAGGGTCGCTTTATGCCACCACCGATGCCACGTCCCCAGGCTCTTGTGACTTCTAGAGCAGCCTTTAGAGCTGGGTAAGTGGCCTGCGGGGAGACAGAGAGGAGGGCTACTGTTGGGGTTGTGGCCAGCATTTCCCTCGGAGGAGAAGGGGTGAAAGCGTAAGGGCTGCCAGGGGGGCCAAGGCACACCCTCCGGCCAGTTCAGGGTTGTCAGCTTTCCAGAAGAGGGTGAGGAGAACAGAGAATGAGCTGCGAGGGCAGGAGAGGCCAGATTTGGGCCGTGCCCACCACCAGCTTTCTCCTGGGAGGCCGCTACACTGCGAGGACCCGCGGCCCCTGGGAACGCTCTGGAGGAGACTTGGGGCCACAGCACCATCCCCTGGTATCTGTCCGCCCTCAACACTGCCCCCCCGCTCCCCCTCCCACCTCTGGTGCAGCCTAGGCCCCGCGGAGTGGTCGGGGAGCCGGCACTGCCTCGGGTCTGCTGCCTTAGAACCACGCAGAGCCCTGAGGCCGAACTCCGACCTGAGCCCGAGCCCTGTCCTGTCCGTGGGCCAAGTGACAGACCTCTCGATGGGCAGACAGAGTTGGGAGCCAGGACGGCCAGTGAGGAAGGCAGGTCCTCTTGAGGGGCCAGCCAACCCCAAGCTTGGAGTTGGAGGTGTGGTTTGCCCCTCTGCTAAATTAATATGCCTCGGCCCCTCCCCTGGCAGAGACCTCTCCTCTGTCCCCCCCAGCTTCATCCGCAGCTGGGCAAGGAGGTAGCGATGTGAGGTCCTTCCAGGAGGGGAACCTGCTTGGGAGCTGGGCACAGAAAGGAGGGCATTTTTTTTCAAGGATTTTGCTGGCCCTTTTTTTTTTTTTTTCTCTGAAATATAAGGATGTGCAATTTTTTTGGTTTCAATTTAGCATTGGAGAATTTTATAATTTAGTAATTAAAATCTCTGATAGGCTTTAGAAATTGCGGCTAATTGAATTTAATGGGAAGATGATTTTCAATTTTATTTGATTACCGGGACCCCTGGCATCGGTATTTATGGGAAAAAAATGGGAAATGTGCTGTGTGGGCTAAGATGGCATAATTGAATTAGGGATAATCGGATTTCTCCGTCATGAATTTCACTATAATTTTCCTATAATTTTCCATTAGATATCTAGTTTACAAATATTCACAAAGAAATGAAGCTCTTTCGGAATGGAGATTGCTGGCTAACAGGATTACGGGGCCGGGCGTGTGGTTGTGCCAGCCTCTATACCGCCATAATGCGATCCCTGTATCTGCCTTCTACTTAGCTTAAGCCTGGCCTCAGCCGTGCGCTCCCCCACCCACCCCACTGCTCCTCTCTGTCCCTGTCTGCCCCCTGCCCCGACACCCGCCCGTCCACGGCCCGCGACTCCTCGTGCCCTGGCAGACGGTCCCGTCCCCATGCCCCGGCGCTTCCTGTCCGCACTGTGCGCACTCGACGTTCACCCGGACAGCCCTCCCTCCCTCAGCCTGAGGAGCACACTCACACGCAAACACACGGACTCCCTCGCAGGTGCGAACATGCTTATTCACATGCACACACACTCCTTTGGCCAAGGCTTCTGTGCCCTGGCCCAGTCGCCTCAGAGGGAACCAGTTTATTGGGATCCTGGGGTGGGGTGCAGGAACAAAAGGAGCTTTGTTCAAGTTTATGTGAAAGTTACAAATTCAGAATGAGAGCAGATAAAGCCTGAGATATCTGGTGTGTAAACAGGCTGGTGAGTGAGAAGGCCCCGGGCTCGGGAGGGGGAGAGAATGAGTGGGCCCTCTGGGGGTGTGAGCAGACCGGGAGCCAACCATGGAAGCCGGCCTGGGGAGCGCCGCCGGTTTCCCCTGGACTCGTGTGAGGGGCCTGGTGGGTGGGCTCGCTGTGCACAGCTCCCCATTTGCTCTGGGGGTGGGGCGTACAAGGACGAGCCAGCGTCTCTGGGCCCAGGGCCTCAAGACTGGGAGGGATGGTGGCATTGGGCTTTCCGTCCCCCGAATCCCAGGCACAAATGTCCTCCCTGTGGCCTGGCCTCAGGGTACAAGAGGTGTCACCACATCGGGGTCCTCAAGGCAAAAATGGGCCACAGCCTCAGAGATGCCAGAGATGTGGGCCTCTCCCCTTCGTACGAGCACACACCCAAAGAGAAAGAAAGAGAACTCTGGGGACCCCTCCATTGTGCAGCCTCTGACTCACACCTCATGCATGATCTTGATGCCTCAGCCTTCTTTCTCCTCAGACCTTCTCGAATCGTAACATGCCAAGATGGCCTCATTCTCTGTGCCTCCCTGGCCTCTTCTCCACTCTTGGACAAGGCCTCTTAAGCCTGCAATGGCTGATCGCGGCCATCGCCTGGCCAGCCCACGCATCCCTCCACCACTTTGCTTGATGGGTCCCTCTAGCTGGCCCTGTGTGTTCTGTGTCCTTCCAGCTGTCCAGCCTTTGTCAGAGGCCCCAAAGTCACCGTGCAGCCAGTCCAGTTGGCCTTGTCTGGGGAACTGAAAGGCATGCCCTCCCATGCCCTGACCACCATCGGCAGAAGCCACAAGGACATTCAGAGACAGCCAGTGGGCCGTGTGGGTCACATACGCAGGGGACTCCTGATAACGCACATCATCCAACAAACCCTGAACTCGTACTCTTACGTCTTCAGGCTCCCTTCCACACCCGGTTGCCCAGGTGGAGAAGCAGGCACTCAGGATTGGGGCTTGGGATTAACTGCCTGTTGTGACAACCCAAAGCTGTAGGCCTTACTTTGGAGAGCCACAGGTGAGAGCACCCGGAGGCATGTAGAGACTCCAGAGTAGTTCTGGACGCAGAGGTCCCCTCTCCAAGATCCCACGTGCGGAACAGAGCCCAGGGTCTTCTGTGCATGATTGCCCTGTACCAGCACATGTCCTAACCTCCAGGTAGCACGTGGCTTGGCCTCTGCTCCTGTATTCAGAGCGTTGGGGTCACGGGATGCTCAGTAAAGCTTCTGGGCCTCTCCAGCTACTCTTCCTCCAAAGGGACAGGGCAGGCCTGAAGGGTGGAGGGTTGTGTGTGACAACCAGCAAAGGGGGTTGCCAAGAGTCAGCAGGGGAGGGCGGTCAAATAGGGGAGAGATGCAAACCTCCTCCTTGTGAGGCCATTTGGAGCTAAAAAGAAGATGAAGAAGAACAATAAGGGGAAAGTGGGAGAAAGAGTAGATTGGTTTTTTTTCTCTGACTTCTTTGCCCCAAGGTTTCCCTGGGCACCTCCCTTGGCAAAGTAGAAATACTGCAGAAATAGGCCAGTGCCATTTTGCTGAATGCTGCCCAAAGACCAGAGAAAACCCAGGGTCTATTCTGTTCCCCTCACTGAAGGCAGTGTGGCCTTCCCTGAAGCAGGAGGAGAGGAAGGCAGCAGAATGGTTACACAAGGAGCAGAGGGAGAGCTAGAGACAGTAGGATCCAGGTACTGTACCAGCTAAGCTGCCCACGTTCCTGTTCCAGCTCGCCTGGCTGTCTCCTTCCTTGAACACCCCCCCCCCCCAAATCCAATGGGTAACTTGGATCACTAAAATTTAAGGAATTCCACATACCTGTCTGCAGCAGGGACGTCTGGGGGACAGGAGACCCACAAAAGTGCTTTCGGGGGGCGGGGGGGGGAGTGCCTTCCAGGGACAAGGAGAGCACAAGGAGTCCTGGTCCAGAGAGGAACTGGCAGGCAGGAAATGCCGCGGCTGTGGGGCAGGTGGCTTGACCCTGGCTCCTTGGTTCGGGAATACCTCTGCCCTCTGTGCCCGGATCCTTACTGGGGCATGGCAGAGGAAACAGGGTGGGAGGGAAGCCCACGTGATGGCATGGATCTGTGTTGGGGTGCTCCGAGTAAAGGCTGCCCAGGGGGGTGAGGGAAAAAAGAGGTGCTGGACTCCCCTCACGGCCCAATTGAGGGGCTGGGGGCTGCACTTTGGAGGAGGTGGAGGAGGAAGAGGAGGAGGAGAAAGGCCGGGAGAGCAGAGATGTGTAGGCCGCCAGGGTTGGCCTGGGTCGGGAGGGCACCAGGGCCCAGTCAGGGCAAAACCAAGAGGAAGTGGCTGAAGCCTAGGGTCCTGGCTCTCCTGGAGCCTGCAGCGGCGGCTGGCTTGCAGAGCAGCTCGAGCGGACTCACGTGTCCCGGGCCACCCCCGGC